AGTTATCATATACAATAATATCCTCCCATATTTCCTTTCCATTTTTGCGAAATGCACTTTTAAAGCATTTGCAAAGAGTCAACATGGTGTAATAGTTTGAATAGCAGACGAAGATTCTGGGAGAGCAGGGTTTGAATCCCCTCTCAGACCTTGGGCAACCCTCACTCTCTCAGCCTTAGAGAGAGGCAATAGCAAAGCCCCTCTGAACAAATCTTGCCAGGAAAACCCCATGATAGTGTCACTTAGGGTCACCATAAGTTGGAAATAACTTGAAGGCACAAAACAATATATAATAGCAACAGTCAGTGCCCATTTCTACTAGTTCATGCTGCTTTCTGCCGTCTAGTGTTTGCTGCTTGTACAGTAAGAGATTGTGTGTGTGTAGCTGGCACACACAAAGACAACAGAAACAAGGGAGAACAGTAAAGAGAAAGAAAAAAGTAAGGCACCCTTGCACAGTTTCCCTTGATATGAATGTCTAGTTGTACCTGACTGTAGGGGGTGATGCTCATCTCCGTTACTAAGCCAAAGAGCCAGGGTTGTCTGAAGATGACTCCGGTGGTCATGTGGCCAGCATGACTGTACAGAATACTATTACCTCCCCACCGAAGTGGCACCTATTTATCTATTTGCATTTGCATGCTTTCCAACTGCTAGGTTGGCAGAAGCTGGGACTAGTGATGGGAGTTCATCCCATCATGCAGCACTTGGGCCTCGAACTGCCAACCTTCCAACCTTATGATAACCAGAATTGGTCCCTTAATCCACTAAAGCCACCACAGCCCCTAAAAACACTCCAGGGTTTGGGGTTCAACTGCTGCTCCAGTGAAGAGCACAGTTAAAGACCAGAAGTAATCATCAAAATTAAAAATCCTGTACTGAGGCTGTGTGGTGGGCACTGGGAAGATACCTACTGCTTCCAAGTACAGTGGGCCCTTCCTATACGTGGGGATCTATTCCGGATCCCCCTGCATATGGCAAAAAACGTGTAAGCTCAAAGTCCTGTTTGTTTTAATGGGGGTGCGCTCCTGTGTACCAATAATTCTTCTGGAGCTTGCTGTCCTCGTGACCTTGAGTCCGTGTATGGTAAGCTTGCGTATGGTGCGTGCATGCTGTACATCTAGAAAAAGATCACAAACCAGCTGGAGAAAAATTAATACATTTAGTTCTATCTCTATGATAGCTTTCCCTGGTGCCCGCAAGTGCCGTGACTGGAGAGTGTTCCTAAGACTCTTGCCCCAGATTGGATGCTATTTCTTGTCACTGTACAATGTCCAGCTCTCCTCTTGTTCAACTCCATCATGACATGGTTGGAGACGCACTGTCTGGCTCACTGCCTGGGTTAGTCTAAATTAGTCCAAATTGTTTCAGGCCAGTCTGATTTGCTTCAGAGCAATGCTGGGCTGATCCTATATGCTTTCTCTAAAGCAGCTGCAAAGCCCTTATGGAAACTGAAAAGTACACAAAGTAAAGGGAAATGATGGCCATCAGAATCCCATCAAACTCTCTCATTACTAGAAATCTATTTGGTATTATCCAAACAACATCAGGACTTACACACATCTACCCACTAACCAAAGAAAGTCTTTCTTGAATTATTTGACTAGGATAGGAAGTTTAAGAAGTACTAAACTAATTAGTAGTAGGTGGTAATTAAGTAGTAGACATTGGATGCAATACACAGAAGAATTATATAAAAGAGATGACAAAATGAAGGACACATGGAATGAAGAGCCATATGAAGATGAAACCCAAATTCTAAAAAGTGAGGTGGAAACTGCAATAAAAGAAATAGCGAAAAACAAATCACCAGGGATATAGAGTGGAAAAGAAGCTAAAAAAATTAGGCTTACAGCTTCCTAA